CACTCTCGGCCGGCAAGAGTTGTACACTCTTGGCCTGGCGAGAGTTGTACACTCTCGGCCGGCGAGAGTTGTACACTCTCAGCGGCCGAGAGGAATCCCTCTCGGCCGTTGAGAGCATACACTCTTAGCGGCCGAGAGGAATCCCTCTCGGCTGCTCAGGGCATCTTTCCGGCGCCGACTCCCAACCCCCCTGGGGTTCCTGGAGGATCGACTCCCAAAAAACCCCGGGGGGTTCTTGTTTTTTTCATTTATTTTTATTTTTTCATTAGGGGAGCGACTCCCAAACCTTCTGAAGGTTTTGGAGGTCCGACTCCCGAGGACGTCCTGAAGAGCGTCCCCAGATGGTCCTTGCGACGTCCCAGAAATTTGGGAGTCGGAACTCCAATTTCTGGGAGTCGTTTAACTAAGACCCATTAGTATATGCTGCAAAATATAAATCAACTACAAAAAAAATAAAACCAGTTAATGAACCTATGCCCCAGAATCTCAACTCACCTTTATGCAATCCCCCTTTATCAAGAGACCCTTACAAAACCCCCTTAACCCCCTTCCCACCTGAATTTACCCCCACCTGGAAAATAACTGAAGAAAGATTGAAGGTTGTCAATTTTGGACCCCCTGGATGGCTTTGGCCAGAAGAACTGAAACTCCTCAAGCATGTCATCAAGCTCAGACAAGGAGGACTGGCCTTTTGTGAAGAAGAAAGAGGACTCCTGAAGCATACCTATGGAAAACCCTACATTATCCCAGTTATCAAGCATGACCCTTGGCAGCAAAGGCCCATCCCAATACCTGCAGCCATCAAGAATCAATTCATTGAATTAGTTAGGGAAAGACTCAAGACTGGCCTCTATGAACAATCCTGTTCCAGTTATTCCAGCCCAGTATTTTGTGTCAAAAAGCAAGATGGAAAGTTGAGAGTGGTCCATGACTTACAAAGGCTCAACAAAGTCACCATCAAAGACTCTGGACTTCCACCAAATCCTGAAGAACTCATTGAATCTTTCACTGGAAGGGCCTGCTATGGTCTGGGTGATATAATGGGAGGATATGATGAAAGAGAATTAGCCCTGGAATCTAGACCCCTCACTACCTTTGAAACCCCCCTTGGCAGATTTCAACTCACCAGATTACCCCAAGGAGCCACCAATTCTGTGGCAGTCTACCAAGCCCAAATGATGTGGATACTCCAGGATGAAATACCAAACAATGTGGGCATTTTTATTGATGATGGAGGGATTAAAGGCCCTGTGTCAGACTATAATCAAGAAACTTTGGAAGAAAATTCAGGAATCAGAAGGTTTATTTGGGAATATGCCATTACTCTGGAAAGGATCTTATTCAGAATAGAAGAAGCTGGACTCACCATCTCTGGAAAGAAATTTGCCTGTTGTGTACCTGCCTTGGACCTTGTAGGACATGTGGTATGCAAAGAAGGAAGAAAAATTGCCCAGAAACAACTCAACAAGGTGGAAAGCTGGCCAATCCCTGACAACCCCACAGATGTCAGAGGATTTCTTGGAGTCTGTGTTTATGTCAGAATGTTTATCCCTGGACTTTCAGAACTTGCTTCACCCCTCAGAAGGCTCACTTGGAAGGACTCAGAATGGAAATGGAACCAGGCTTGCCAGGATGCATTTGAAAAACTGAAGAAACTGGTGGGCTATGATATTACTCTAAAAAAATTGGACTATTCCGAAGAAGCAGGAGCAATAAAATTAGCTGTAGATTCAAGTCACATAGCAGCTGGAGCAGTACTCACACAAGAAGAGGAAGGCCTGGACAGACCTGTCCTTTATGAATCAGTGGTATTCTCCCCAACAGAATCCAAATATTCCCAGTCCAAGTTGGAACTTTGTGGAGTCACCAAAGTCCTCAAGAAACTACAAACTCAATTATGGGGCCAACATTTTGAATTATTAGTAGATGCCAAAAGTCTAATAGAAATGATCAACTCACCCAGCCTTCCAAATGCTCCCATGACCAGATGGGTAGCCTTTATCCAACTATTTTCCTTTACCATGAAGCACGTCCCTGGAAAAACTTTCACCATGCCAGATGGATTATCCAGAAGAACCCCTGACCCTGGAAAAAAAAAAAAAAAAAAAAAAAAAATCAGAATCGAGTTTTCAACTTTTTATATATATATACATACCAGAAAATTGTCTTTTTTTTACTTACTTAGTCTATAACAGTCATCTGTACTTGGTCTACAGTCTCAAGCACACGGTCCAGTTCCTCCATAACGCTCTCATACAATCGACATCGCGCCATACGCCTATAACCGCCACTTCGACGCGGGTGATTGAGGACGTCTCCGTCCAGCAAATCGAAATAAGACCGAAAGAAGCCCTTGATATGTCGGCGCGCGTTTAAGACCGCGTCCTCTTGAACAACCTCGGCCCAGATCGGTCCGCGCTCCTCAGGTGTCAACTCGTGGTCCGGATCGGGGAGAGGCGGGTACACATAGTGAGGTTCAGCTGGGGGAGGCGTGTCAACACGAATAGGAGAGGAAGCGGTTCCGCTTCCTGGGATGTCAGAAGAATTGGGAGGTGACGGCGATCGTGCGTGTTGCTCCTGGTAGTGAAAAGGAAACTGGCCATCGGCATTCACTTGGAAAGCCGCGGCGATGGCGAACAGACGAATGTCTGAAAAGGAGGGAGGAGGCGGACGAGGTGCATGCACGTGGTCCTCCACACGTCTACGCACATCAACGGGTTCTTCAGGGTCGGTCAGTTCAGCAGTAGATGCAGCGTGCGAGTCGGCCTCTTCCGACTTGACCACAGGATTAGGAGATGAAGACTCGATGGTCTCTTCAGGTGCAGCAGTTTTGGCGGCAGAGGTAGCAGGCAAATCGGCCTCTTCCGATTTGATCGACGGATCAGGAGTCATACCGGCAAGAGCAGGGGACGACGGCAGATGAGTAGACGCTTCGGACTGAAGGGAGTAGGGAGATTGCGGTTCGTTCGCAAACCTCACAGGAATATAGAAAGTGGTCATGTCGAGGAGGCTGGAGAAGGTGCGATCGTGGATATGAACAAAGCGCTAGAAGCAACCCCGTTAAGAATCCAAGATTGACTACTCGACAGGACAGGTAACTCGGAAAGAGTCGGTCTCAACTGAGCGGGTCAAGAGCTCGAAACGACGGAATCGACCGGCAACCCTTTGTTTTTTTTGTTGTTAGGCGCTAAGATCGATAGCGCGGCCGGCCAAGCCGTTGATCCAGACTTGAGCGTTCCAGGAATCAATAGGACAAACGACATCACCGTCAATTCAGGTTTGAAAGAGCGGGTAGCCTTCGGAGGCATCGAAACAATTGCTATAGCTTCAAACACGTTGATCAGGTACTCCATCTGTAAGACCGATGGTCGGAATCAAGCGGATAGCAACTAGGTATGCCAAGCTCCTCAACGGCGCGAGGGAAGTCAAGGAATTTTTCGTCCTTGTCCCTGCTGCCCACCTATTCCTACCAGACATCTCCGCAAGTATAAAACGAATTGAGATTATTACAGAAGCCATGAGTACACCCGACCTCCTTTACAATGATCCGGCTACCTATTGTATGCAGTACCGGCCCAACCAGCATTCTAACTTCGTTTCCATCTCTAACCTCGCCCTTGGGACGACGACTGACGACATCAGACTCACATTCCAAGGCTTTGGGACGATCAGCCACTGCTTCATTGCATCAGACCAACCGTCGCGCGCTCTAGTAGTATTCCTCAAACCATCAGACGCAGCCCTCCAGGCCGAATCGTTGGACGGTGCAATTGCCGACGGACAGTGCATCTCCGTCAAAACCATCAAAGAGAAGGAATTAGGGGGTCTAGCCCTTCTTCGTAGAATAACTGGAACCATAACCTGCACACCCCTCCTTAGCTTGTAGACCCACCAAGCCCCTTTTATTTCAAATTTGGGGGTGGTTGCCACTGAACTCCTCCCCTGAACTACTTGAAGCCCTTGTCCCGAAAATCTCAATCTTCCACCCTTCAAATTTTAGGCTTTTTGCTCTTTTGGGATAGCATTCTCTTTTCTTTTCTTTTTTTCTCTCATTTTTTTTGATGAATCAAAATGTTTTCTTGGAAAGGAAATAACCTCAAGGCTATGGAATGAAAAATCAAGATGAATGCAATGAAGAAGTGAATGAAATCAAGCATCCAGCAACATGAACAGAAAATTAATAAAACATGAAATATAAAATAAAAAATAAAAATAAAAAAAATAAAAAAAATTCCCCTACATACATAAGCACTTTTTCTCTAGAATTTTTTTTATCAGTTATGACAAGTTTCTTTTCCTAGAATATATTTTTTTTCAGTTGGCTTCAGGATTGTCTTTCTTTTTTTTCTCTTTTATTGGATGATGGGGACATCATCTAATTTGGGGGTGGATGTGGTAAGCCAATCCTGAATCTCAGAGCACAACAAGACTACATATCACACAGGAATCACAGACTCAAGACCCCTCAGGAATTCCCCAGGCCCTCAAACAAATCCAACAACCCAGTTATCCACACAATTGCCCCCCCTCATGGATAATAACATCTTCCACACCTCTGAAACTCCTCAAATGAAACCCATGGCCAAATTCCTAGTTCATTATTGATAAGACTTATCTCACACACCAGCTACACACTAGTAACCCTTCTCAATATAACCTCAAACCCCTCTAAAAATATTCCTTATCTCTTATCTTGTTCCATGTTATGCCAAGAATTCTCACACAATAGTTATGTTTGATACTAGTCCTCTTTTGGTACTTTCTTCCCATTTCCTGTTCAATCCTTATCTGGGTGAAATAATTACCCCCACCTCTTCCCCTTGATAAGATTATCCAAGCCTCTCTCTGTTTCAGAATGAACTCATTACCTTATCTTAGCTTGGCCCTTTCTTTGGTTTCAGTCTAGTCTTATCTTATCTTAGTGCCACACTAAATTAGGCCACATTGTTCATAGTTACAATTTTCTTCCTTGTTCATTCTTTGTTCCATTTTGTTCCATCCATCTTCCAACCACAAATTGGCCACTCCCCAGATTTTGTATATAAGGAGCCTTGTTTTCCCCTCTTGATTTGTTCCACATCAGAGCCTGCCCCAGAAATTCAGATAACTGATCACCCACTATTAGCCAGGTATTTGCCCATCAACATTTGGGATACCTTGATTTGTGACAAGTTTATTTAGACTAGTAACCATAAGAAATATTAGACATACCATCCTCAAGAAATCTCCACAGCCACACCTTTTTCCTTAAGAGTCCATACTCTTATATTTTCTTGTTATCAGAGAGGCAGCCCAATAAAGCACTCATCCCTCTCAAGCTCTATTCCTCCCAAGAGTAGTTCCACACCGCGCGGATATCCGGATGCAACGGGCCCATCTCTAGACATCGTCAGCAAGTTTCATCCGCCGGCAAACAAGCACATCCCTGGAGGGAAGCTTGGAAGATCTGAGTGTTGCAAACGTAAATCAGATTTTCATTACTCCTCAATGGGGTAATGAGGATTTGCCTTGAGATTATCCACATGGCTCTAACTTTTTGTCTCCAGATTTGCCCACCCAGTTCATGAGTTCACCAACTTTGGTTTACAAATTCAGCAGACTCAAGTGCACTCACAATCCCAATTGACCCAGGGCGTCTCTCTTGTTGAGATTATTCTGCAGTTTTTGTATGCAGATCATCATAAAAGAAAAACTATTTATTAAACTATGTACTCTTATAAAATCCATTCAAAAACTTTCACACAAGGTAAACTCTCCACCAACAAAACCACTCAAAAAAGGCAGAAAAACAAAATGAAGAAGAAGAAATAAGAGCCTGTAACAAATTATTGTTCCAATCAAAAAAACACTTTTCTTCTTTTTTGTGCGTGTTTGACACCAATGCAAAGTCATTAATCACAAAAAAAAAAATTGAAACTAGAATCCAAAAGACAGTTGATAGAAATTTTTTTTCTTTTTTTTGGAGACAAAAAAAAAATGAAACTTGCTCTAAAAAAATGAATGATGAATGAAAATGAAATCAAAATGATCTCTGTTTTTTGAAATGTTTTTGAAATTTGAAAGTGATTGAACCTTTTCTTTTTTTTTTCTTCTTCTAAAATTCTATATATCAAAAGAATCTAGGAGAGAGTGATGATGATGATGATGATGATGAAAAAAGGATTGAGTTCATTTTTTCTTTTTCTTGGCGCCGACGACAGCGAAGCCCCAGCCATCATTTTTAGGAGGAGGGGGTTGCAGTTTGAGCGCATCAGCCATTGATCCAGGGGATGAAGAAGACGAGGGATGATTAGGGATGGAATGGGCGAGATAGCCGGCCGATTTCTTGATTGAATGATGATGGCCAAGAAGGCTCGGATGATTCGAACCAGACAATCCATTCGAGTTGCCCGCCATCTTCATCATCCCTCCACCCTTGTTCCCGCCCACACCGCTCGAAGTGCTCGTATTGCTTCGTGATGCCACATCTGCTATACGTCTCGCATTGAACTCTTTCGCAAACCTTCGGCCATCTAATGTCGCACTACCTGCATAAACACTGTCCGAGACGATCTCTAGAACTGATTCGTCGGGATTCACTGGGAAGTCTAATAACATCTTCACAAAATCATCCACTACAAAGTCAAGCACCAATTATCTCCGTCATCAGAAATCTATACTTTTAAAAGCCCAAGGAGAAGAGTTCAGATTACTGACCATTGTTCATCCCTCTCAAAGCTTCACGTAACCATTTCATAAATTCCGGCGAAGCGGGAGGAGGACTATCAGGATTAGGGGCAGAATTCGCGACGCCAGGGGTTCCATTGGTAGCCGAAGGAGGCCCAGAAAGATTCGATTTGGTTGCAGTAGTAGTGGTGACAGGTTTGCTGACGCTGATCGGTTTTGGGGCTGGTTTGGAGAGAGTTGTCCCGACTGAGCCGCCAACGCGAGCTACACCTGATCCGACTACTGTCGGTGCGGCTCCCACCACTGCTGGTCGACCAGGCGCTGCTGCCGGGGGCGCAATCACCTTACTCTTAGGTCCGACTACCGCCCATGGTCCACTCACTGCAGGCTAAAAACAATCAAGAAAAGAAAGGCGGGGAAAAACAAGATTGTTATTAAAATCGGTTTTTGTTCGGGAATCATTCATACGATATATAGAGAGAAAGTATGTGGGAAATAATTTACCTTATTCGAAGCTGAAGCTACAGTGCCCGCATAACCGCCCACAGTTTTTATAGCACCTGCAGCAGGTCTAGATTGTTGCTGTTGCTGGAGAGCAAGACTCTTCTTGCGGGCCTCTTCTTCCTGGATCTGTTTCATGCTCTGCTTAGGCCCATTGATGGCTGCAGGAGTCTCGGTTTCTTTGGAGCCCCAAACGGTACCGGTGACGGACTGTTTGGTGGGAGAAGAGGATGTGGCTGTGGCTGCCCAATTAGAGGTCGCGGGTAAGCTCTCCTTAGCAGCCTTCATGGCTCGTTCGGCCGCCATGGCTTGTTCGGCCATAGCTCGGTTAGCCGCTGCTTGTTTCTCGGCTAGTCGTCGTTTTTCGAGTTGTTTGGCTTCGATCGCTTGGATCTCCGTTAAGGATAAGTTCGTCGAAACCTTCTCTTCTTTCAACCATGGCGCTGGTGTGTTGAAAGAAGACGCAGTGGCTGCTGCTGCTGCCTCTGAAGCTTCTCGTGCAGCGCGTTCGACTGCTTGGGCTTCTTTCAATTGCAATTGTGCCTTTTGAATACTTGCTGTCCGTCGGTCTTGTTCATCCTGTTGTGCTTTGCTCAGAACGACAACCTTGCCCGATGATTTGGCAGCGGGTGGGACAATGGATCCTGTGGTGCGGGGAACGCTGGGTGGCTTGGCCGCCGTTTGATGATTCACGTTTCGCCAAGATTGATTTGAATTGGCAGGGTCAGAGGTCGATTCACCTTCGGGCAAGGCTGTACTTGGTGATTGGGGGGTCAAGCTGTCGCGAGTAGATTCGGTCGGGACTTGTGCTTGGGTAGGAATGGTGGCTGGCCCAACAGGTTCCTTCTCAACAGAGACGTGAGAAACAGTGTTGGAAGATGAAGTGACAGGTGCCGTTTGACCTTCGGTCGCAGGGAAAGTCTTAACTTCTTTCTCGGAATTAACTGCTGAGACTGGTTGGGACTTAGAAGACTTGGTATGAGTCTGGTCAGGCACCGACAGTTTCAGTTCAGAAGATGTTGGGGCAGGCGTATATTGACCGGATGGACGGATATTATCACTCTTTTGAAGAGTTGATGGCGACTCGTGAATTTTGGCCTCGTCTGGCTTTGCAGGGAAAGCGGATTGGTTGGGATTTGAGGCCATAGCCATAGGTTGAAGAGGAATCCGGTCGGACGTTTCAACCGAGCAGTCATTAGGAGGTGGCGGTGACACTTGCCAGGGATCGACGTGCTGTAAGTGAGGCATGGGGTTCTCATGACTGGGTCGCTCGGTTTGGGGTTCAATTCCCTCGCCTCCAGTAGGTGCCCGGTTGTTCAGAAGTGAATGAAATAGATGAGTGTGAAGCTGTGCCACGAGGAGCGGGTCCATCGCAGAATTAGAACCTAAATGGGGCATCGAGGGCATCTGACCAAAGTTGGGGGGTTGAGGTAAGGGCAAAGGGAAAGGATAACCATTTGCGGTAGCCATAGACATGGCGGGATGTTGGGCGTGTTGGAGAAAGCGAAAAGTATCCTGAGATACGTAGGAGCCATTGGGCAAGTTGGGTATGATGCCATTGTTAAGCAAGTTGAGATTGTTGAACTCGACCAATCCATCATTAATGACATAGTCATTGGCTCGTAGGTTGGGATGAGCAGCAAATGCTGGTAGGGAAGAGTTCCATCCAGGCCCCGAGGCCAAAGGCGTTGACGCTGGGATATTTCCGGGATGCAGCAGAGGTGATGCTCCGGGGGCCATACCATTCCAAGGATCAGGGGCGGAGATGGGAACATGTTGGCTGGGCGCACGGGCCGAATTAGATAGAAGTGTGGAATCTACAGCAGATGAGTTCTCTGTCTGAGGCGGAAGACTCGAAGCTTGGTCTAAGAAACTGGATAGTGGCCTGGGGGAAGGCTGTGAGGTGGGGAGCTGATGATTGTGAGAATGGGCCTCTGGTAGCGGAAGATTGGGGGGTAGGGCAGGAGGAGGACGGGATAAAAAGGGTCGATCACGATCCCCGACCCGCAGGATCAAGGTTTCCAAAGTCTCAAACGCTCCATCAATCACTCTTTTGACCAACAGATCGTCGCGGAAGAACGTTGCCTTGTACCACTCTTGCATCTGGAAAGCCGTAAAGGGGCCTTGGACGGTACCAGATGGATCGCGATATTGCCAGGCGATGTTTTCAGGATTCTGATCGCTACTAGGAGCGGGTTGAGTTCCTGAAGATCTCGCATCGGGGGACGGGGTGGGACCGCTGGTGGAAAGTTGATGGTTGCTGCCAGAATCTGCTTTGACCGGCGACGGGGAAGGCTGATTATCGTCGAAGCTGCGCCCAGCAGCATAATCTTCACTGAATTGCCTAGGAGGTTGGTTACCCGTATGCAAGGAAAGCTGAGGATCTCCTGAGGGTTGATCGCCCGTGGGAGGTGTTGACTGATAAGTTTCATGAGAGGCTTCTTTGGACGATGCTTCGAGATTGCCAGCAGCCCTCTCACGCTATCAAGAAATTTGTTAAGAATCAGTCAGGCGTTGTTGATGAAGACCGGGAGGTCTTGAATACGATGCTCACCATCTTGTCTAAAACTGAGTATTTCAAGTTGGTACCTCCCGGACTGTCCTGTGAAGCCTGGATCTTTTCCTCGAAGGAGACCCCTCTCTTCCACTTTCCATCCGAAGGTGGGGCCAAGTCGCGAGTCCGGCGATCACGAGGAGTCGCGCTCCAAGGAGGGGCATGCGGCGATGAATCCTCGGTGCGCTGGAAACGACGGGGGCTCTCTGCGAAAGGTTGGTTTGAAGTTGACAGCGTGAGTGGTTCAATAACGTTAGCAAGGAGAAATCGGAAAGAATGAAACGCACCATTGGAATCGAGTTCATTATCACCTCGTCGTCTAGCATTAGCATGAGAGGGTGAAGCAACGCCCGCGAGGACGCCCCCCTGAATTCCCAGACTATTGAATCGCTCGATCGGATTTTGTTTAGCAAGTTTGACAGGGCCTCCAACAGACAATTTATTGTTACCCAGGCCATGATTGACAGTCGTTTCAGGGGAGCCAGGAAGCCCGAGATGATGGTCGGGGTTGCTGTGATGCTGTTGGACCTTATTGACTGCAGAACGTTTCTCACTATTGAAAGGGCCGGCAAATAACTTGAAGGGAATGCCCGGGAAATAATGGAGAGATGTGGTAAGAAATGATGGGGCTATGGATGGCAGGATTGGGGAGGTTGATGAAGATCGCTTGTTGACTTACTTCTTTTTCGGTCTCCGTCATCTCGATAAAAGCCAACGGGGGTCCTACAAATTCCACAGTAACAGCAGGATCGGTGATCTCGAGATCCGGTGGTAGTTTGGAGGCCAGATTCTCGGAGTAAAGGTTGAGGAGCGTTTCACGAGAGTAATCGGCAGGTTCTGAGGACTGGTTGTGGCCGTTAAGTTGAGGGGTCGACTCGGTGGCTTGGGTGTGATGATTGGCTTGGGTTGGGAGCCCATTGGGATGAGCTCGATGGTCGATTTCCTTAGCGGGGGAGACGGCGGCAGAGAAAGATTTAGGAAGAGGTAAGGAGGTAGTATTGTTTGCTGGGCTGAAGGAGCCGAGTGATGGGGCTTGGTTGGTGGTCTTGGGAACCGTGTTAGGGGTCGTTCCACTACTATTGGGTCGTTGTGGTTGGCTGAACTGGTTTTGGGTGATGGGGGTAGTCTTATTGGACACCGGTGCTGGTTTTCTACCTCTCATGAAGACTGGGCCGAAGTTGATTTCGTTGGATTGAGACATCTCGGGTAAAATTGATCGAGCAGAGCTGGATGGTTCTTTTTTTTTTTTGAAGTAGGAATGAAGATCGATGGTAAGGTAAGTATGTGTGTGTGTGATGGGGGCAGATAGGAAGGTCAAGAGAGGGAGATTCTCTGGGATGGGTGGGCAGGGAAGGGGAAAGGGAGGGAGGGGGAGTGTTCGATCGATGCAGAGTGGGTGGTTTCGAGGGATGCTGCTGACCTTTTCAAGTGAGTTGTTGGTTTTTGGTTGGTGTTGGTGCTGGTTCTGGTTTTTCTTTTTTTTTTTGCTTTGCAAGTGGGTGTGTGTGTGGAAGTGGCTTATGTTTTCAAATGGGTATTCCAATTTCAAAAGAGGGACAGCCCAGCAACAGACGAGGGGGGGCAGAAACCGAAGAGAAAAAAATAAAGAACAGAGGGAAAAAAACAGCGAGATTTGAATAAAGAAGATCATTCAAATTGAATATCTACTTTGATCAAACATCCCATCCATGCATTCACAAAGCAGTGCAAACGCAGGAAAAACAGCAGGTGAGTTCACCAAGACACTCACTCCTTTTAATAACACTTGTTCATCAAACTTGCCCAAAATCCCAATAGGCCGCCGCTATTTTCTACTCAGTGTTTCACCCAAAACCTCCACCCTGACAGCTGTCATTCAAATAACAAGACCTACTCCAATCCCAGCTCTTCTGATCAACAACCATCAACAAATTGACCTATCAAATAACTCAGTAACCTGAGTCTGAGATGAAGCTCTGAAACAGTCCCTAACAGTAACTCATGGATGACACTGTGGTATGTAATCTCAAATCTGGATTCCTGGAATTTAATTCTACTATATGACTACTGGATTACTGGAGGACTTCCCGTGGGTTTTACAGACCTTGTAAAGCTAGATTTACAGGCTGTACATAGAGCTAATTTTTTGCTGGGAAAACGGTTTCACAAGCCTGTAAAAGCAGCTTTCCAGGGGGCTGTAAATTCAATGGGAAGTCCTCCACTTCTCCTTGGTTCTGTTGCCCCTACAAAACCAGATCTGTAGCCCTTTGAGTCAGATTTCCCCAAAAGATCTGAATGCACTAGTGGGTCTAAATCTGGTTCTGTACGAGCTTCTGGTATCCCTGGGAAGTTCTCCACTATTAGAACTCTTGGGTAATTTGTCCCTCTATTTGGAATCCTACAAAATAAGGGCCTATCTTCCCCAAATTTTGATTTAGATCAAAGGTGATCATGACCACAAGCTAGTCTTAGTTGATGATTTCAACTACAGTTCTCTCGACTTGTTCTCAATTTCTTGTGTGGAAGACAGAAATAAATGACCAGTTTTCAAAAATGGATGCCGCAGTACATGAACCCTTTTGGCTTTGGGGGATGTTCAATTGTGATGATATGGAAATTCAAGGAAGATAAAGACTGGAAAATCAAATTTTCATACCATAAGGTACAGCTCCTGAATTATTATTATCTTTTCATCTGAAACATATCTTCCCAATCAAACATCCAGCTGGTTGGCGGTACCCGTCACCCGCCAGCGGGTACCCCCCTATCCCTGATGGTACCCGCCAAGTGGTGCCGGGTGCGGTACTTGGTGCCTGCTTTTGGGTGAAAAACCAGGCGGTACTCAGGTACCTTTAAGGGTACCCGCCTCCAAACCCCCTCCTTGGTGGCTTGACCAAGACTGACTGGTCTCAGCCAGGTTGCTGGGGAGGACCCCTCCTTGCCAACCTGATTAAGACCAATCAGGTTGCCAGTATGGACCCTCCTTGACCTAATTGGTCTCAACCAGGTTGCCTGGAAGGACACTTGGCAATCGGGCATCAAGGCCAGAGTACTGCTGGTATCTGTCTCAAGTACTGCTGGTACCCGCCTCAAGTACTGCCAGTACCCGCCAGATGGTGCCAGGTGCAGTACTTGGTACCGGCTTTTGGCTAAGAAAGCACCTGGCAGCCCGGTGTCAATGGGTACCAACAGTGGGCCGCTACACTACACTACACTAAAGGGCCACTTGGCGTTAGCATAGCGGCGCTGATAGGGCCCCTTTTTTCTGTAGTGTTAGCGTGCTGCTACGCTACACTACACTGTAGTGCCACTAACAGGTGGCTTTTTTCTGGGTAGTGTTAGTGCACTGCTACAGCCGCTACGCTGCGCTACAGCGCTTTTAGCGGCAAAAAAGGCAAAAACCTGCTAAAAAGCACTGTAGCGCCGCTTAGCGGGCACTTTTTTGTGCCCTGAGCACGTAGTGTTAGTGCAATTCCAACTCTCTGCGCTAACGCTACACTAACAGCTAACAAACCCTTGTGCCCTTTGCGCGTAGTGTTAGCGCAGAAATGTGGGTTTTTTGCTAATTCTACGCTACAAAGTAGCATATTTTTGCTGCGCTATGCCACACTAATGCTATGGTTAGCGTAGCTGGCCCACCATTGTGGGTACCCAGGCTAATCAAAACTGAACTAATTAGATACTTCCAAACCTGGTGGTTTGGGTAGGTCAGCAAGGCCATCCCAGACCCCAATAAAACCAATCAGTTTCCCTTTTTTTTCTGCACTACCACTGCAGCATAATTAGCTTGGTTGGGTTTATCTTGCTTGTTTTGCTTCTCTCTTTACAACTAGACATTTAATTTTCAACACGGAAACTTGCTAGTCACTTCACTTCCTCTAATGATCTGTGAACTTTCTACTCTGCTTGTGCACTCACCACTCTCTTTGATTTTAAATAGACACTGCTTGACTCAGCCAAGCACTGATGAGAAAAGAAACATTTCAAAAAAAAGCAATTCAAATTTTGTATTAAATCAGCGGTGGGCCACTACGCTTTTGGCCCAAAAAGCGTAGCGTAGCGGCGCTTTTTTTGCGCCAAAATTTTGTAGTGTTAGCGCTTTTGTAGCGCATTTTTGCTACGCTACAGCGCTTTTAGCGGAAAAAGCGGCTAAATACCGCTAAAAACCGCTGTAGCGCAGAGTAGTGGGCCCTTTTTTGCAGCCCACACGCGTAGCGTTAGCGGTGTTGTGGCGGAATTCCGCTAAGCTACGCTTAACGCTAACGGGAATTCCGCTGCGTTACGCTACACTAACCGCTACGGTTAGTGTAGCGGCCCACCGTTGATTAAATGGCCTCTCAAGGCTTCTATTTAACCACCCAGGGCTTTGAGGGGTGCTCCAGACCCCAGTTGGTACCACTCAGGGTGTGTGAGGTCAGTCAATTTTATTCTTGGGCCCAACCAATCTGACATTGTTGCTCCCAGCTAAAACCTCTTATACTTCAAGAAAATTCACACAACTGTTAGCAGTTAAATTTTGATTTTGCAAAGGCAATTTTTGATACCACGTGTCAACTGCCAAAGGTTGTGCAATATTTTCTTGCAGTGTTAACTTGCTTTGAACCCATCAGGAGCACCATGGAGAGTTCCTGGTGCTATCTCTACTTTCAAAAATACTGGCTGGCATGTTGTGCCACCTCGGCAACCATGGATCAATATTGCCAATATCTGTGGGCATGATCAAGGATCCTTGGCAGCCAAGACAAACAAGTGATGTGTCAGCTTACAACAATGGCTCTGGCTACACGGGATACAGGAAGATGGGATTTTTGAGGCTCCTTGAAAGTTCCTTTTTCACTCCTTTGAAAAGTCAGAGAAGAGAAAAAGAAGAGTGGTCCCTGATATTATAAGGTAATAGAATAATCTACAACTACTAACACTACAACACTCATTTAAATCAATGCTTGATATCTCCCATCATTTTCTTCTGTTGATATCTAAACCCTCTACCCCTAAGCTCAAGCCCTTACAACTCTTGGACATCTATTCACATCTTTAATATTTCCAGACTTTTTCACAATCTTTGTCATCGACCTAAAATCGCAGAACACTTGGACATCACAACATCATTGATCCAAGCGCTTATCCTGGTCAACACTTGACTGACAAACATATAAGCGACTCTCTCTTCCCATCTCGATTCTTTTCTGGCTTGTGGAACTTGGAGGCAAATATCTACTGCCTCATAAACATCTCAGTCTTCTCTTTATCTCTTTCATATCAAAAACATTAGACCTATTAGTTCCGCCGCCTGAAGTAGGGTATTGTCAAATTTCCCGTATCTTATCATTCCTGAAGAACATCAAATTCATCAGCACTTTCCCTTCCTTCTGAATATTCTGCCAACAGACCAAGTGCTTCCCTTCCTCTCAAAATCTTGTCGATTCATCTAGAAGTTCTTCTGGTCTTCTCAGCTTGGTAGGTTAATCTCTTGACAGTTTCTTCTCTTCATCACAAGTGTCAATTATTAACCTGTTGATTGTAGTCTTCTTTTTCTCTCATTGTTTTGTGTGTTTTCTTTCTTTTATAAAGAAATACTTTGTTGTTTGCCTTTAAGGTTAGAAACCTTTTTCTCTTCTCTTTTGTTTTATTTCTTTCCTCATTTACTTATCAAGAAATAAACCTTTAGGTTTGACAATTCACATCTTCTTCTTCTTTTATTGAATTCATGCACCCCAAATATACTGTCATTTTTTAGTTGTCTACAAATCCCCCCTGCCCTCAAAGCTTCCTTGCCCTATTGATGAATTCTGCCCAATACAATAAAAAAATTGTATTGGATTGTGTGTCAGATGCAATACACAACCTCAAGATTGTATGCTCTGGCAAGGCCAATACAATACATATGTATTGTATTGATGTGTGCTCTGCCCCTGGCTTAATGCATGATGAGGCTCCGGGAGTGCATCAGAAGTTCAATGAAATGTTGATAGTTGACCTTTTATTGTAGTGTATCACATCTGTTGCAGTGTTTCTACTAGTGTATCAGAGATAATTGGACTCTCAGACCCCATCATCCTCATATATGCTCTGTAATCAGCCTGACAGGAGCCCTATGGACAGCCCAGCCCAAGTACAATTTACTTTGGGCCTAGATAAAATAATTACCCCAAAAGATGGCACAAAACCCACACAAACCCAAGTGGTTTTGGGCAGGCCTTCTACACACCCGGCCTAATGATCATCCTTTGCATACATAGGGAGATTACAATCCCTTGAATCCAGGATTCAAATATTGTGAGTAAAAGATTCAGTCAATATAAATAGATCATACATACAAAATACAATGTGGAATGTCAAAACCAAGTACATTCCTAAACCAAAAGTACTCAAGGAGAAAAACTGAAAAATGGGTAGGTGACTTAAGTTAAGTAAAGAGGTATGAAAGTTAACATCAATAAACACTGCGTTTTTCTCACTACTGGAACAGTTGGATGTGCTGCCTCAATGGAGTTTTGACTGGGTTGCTCTCAGCCAACGTATTATTAAGTACAGGTCCAATGTTTTGTCTCGCTGATATCACCATTTTGTTCATATTGTTACCAAAAAACAATTCTGGTCCTTTATTGGATGGCTCAGTGACCATCTGCAGCCACAATTACAGTTTTCTTTTCTTGATTATTGAATGGACAGGGAGATTTCCTTTGGGATTTTGTCTGTCTAGCTTACCAAAGCTATATGAACATAGGGTCCAGGAGAACCCTCACATAATCTTTGGAAGGACAAATTTCAAGCATAACTACAAACCAAAAAAGAAAAAATAAATGCACAGTGTTTGAGCCACTCTTTTCAATGCTTAAAATTATCTAACCACACATTGGGATTCTGGGCATATGAGCTTGTTTTTCTGCAATAACTGTGGATTAAAATTGGATTGCCTAACCAACCCAATTACTCAATATACATCTGGAATTGGTGATACAGCACAAAAAGTGAAGTATCAGCACCATATCATGGGGACTTACCCACCAATACCATAAAAGACTGTGTTTTTCTAAGATAACAAAATATGGATGCATTTTATTGCTCATCCCAACGATGTAACTGATGCGATGCATGCATAGGTATCACATCGTATCGGGCCTTTATCGCATCACATCGCAAGAGCAATGCGGGGCCCCGCATCACATCGCTTGCATTGGATTGTTCAATACAGTGTATCAGTATTGCATCGGCAAAGCGATGCAATGTGATGCACTATAATTTGGTGGCATTGGTTTGCATCGCTTTCCAATATGATGCCGATGCAATGCATCGCTTTTTTGATGCGATGCCAATGCAATGCATCACTTTTTTGATGCGATACCAATACATGGCTATTTATCGCATCACATCACATCGTTTCACCATTGCTCATCCAACTGGAATTAACAAAGGCCATTCCTTGCCAGATGAACTCAAAACATAAACAATATCCACCAATGAGAACTGCCAGAATAATTGGCTGGGTATAAGCTATCCTAGTTAAACTGGGATGTACTTAACCAATTTTAAATGAGTCAATCTCAAACCATTAAGTAGAAATCCAATGCATAACAGTAACCCAGTTCAACTTGGATATCCTCAACCTAGCCAATTATGCTGGCACTGGCAGTGTTGAGGTTTGGTGCTCATGGGCCCCTCTTATCTTGATAGCTTTCATCTCTAGTGAGAGGAGTGTTCTGAATTGATGATTGAGCTCACAACATAATATCTCAAAACTGAGATTGGAAGATCCACCACTGAATTTTCACTGTTTGCATGGACTTTCTATTGATCTCTGCAGAGCTTCACTCAAATTAAGTCCCAGTGACAGATTTTATGCTTTAAAATTCAAGCATTCATTAAAAGATTCAGATTTTTTAACCCTTAATCTAGCAGAGCTACTAGTGGGGTTCATGATTTAAAGAGCCCATTTCAAAGCCTTCATCAACAACATTTTAAAAAATTCACAAGGTGAGCAGTACTGGGGTTTTCTGAACAATCCACACAGCCTTTTAATCTTTGAAAAAAGTGTTGATAAGCACCTTAAAATGGGGTTTAACATTGGAGGAATTCCCTTTGCCATTTAGAGTGCTTTTTAAGCCCTCCCGAGTCCTAAATTAACACTTCATCCATAAGTCCAACCAGCTCACAGGAGAGCTATCTTCACAAGGCTTGTGGAAAAATAATTTTTTATGCCAAAAATTAAGATCTAGGGGGTGTAAATCAGATTCTGGAAAGTTGTAAACAGCAACAATAAGTCATTGATTTGATAAATTTCAATCATGAACCCCACTATTGAAAAACTGGGTTGCATCCAAACATTACTTTATGCAAGTTCCTCCTTCTGCCAGAGTCAGTGCTGGGTGTTAAGTGGGAGCCTTCTATGTCTTTGAATAATACTTGCCTGAAACCATCCACAAAAAACTTCTGAAATCACTGAATAAGCTTTAATCCATGGCAACTTGATTTAAGATTCAATTTCTGGTCCTTTTTTGTGGAAATTTGTTTTGGCAAAAAATGGGTTGAGTCTAAGACTCAAGTTTCAAGGGCTTCTCAGCCTCACATGTAGCATGTCAGCTCAAGGATCTATTTGTTGTGTAAATCCAGGTATGGATTTTTGAGATGGTAATTTGGTTATTATATGTAAGTGCCTCCCTGAGGTTTGTAGCACTTTGTAATTCGGCCTGCAGAGGGGGTCTCAGCGCGGCGTTTCCGTGCTCCAGGGGATGGTGCGAGTCCCACAGCTGCGCAGCTACCCCGCCTGCGGACGATTTGATGATCGAAGGCTTCAGTTCAGGGCAAGGGTGGTTGTCTGTTGACCTATGCTTCTACTCGGCAGCCTCCAACCATTACCAACCAACCAACCAACCAACGAGCGAACCAACGAGCCAACGAACCAACTAAACCTCAACTTACCAAACCGCCGAAAGAACTTTCAGAACATCAACCATCCTCAAGATGGCCGACGAACCTACTGAATCGACCACGAACCTGGTCGCCACACCAGATCCAGCACCAACTACTCAAGAGCCTGAGCCCGCAAATGAGATCCCTGAAACCAGCGACTCACCTCAGATAGCCAATCCTCTCGAGCTTCCGCTACCAGAAAAACCACCAGCCGAGCAGAACGCGCCCTTATTTGCACCATCCCCTACCGCCTCCGAGAATAACCAGGGCAATGATCTACCAACATTATCGCCCACTATCATCGAAAACAAGCAGGAGGCCGATGATCCAACCCCACTATCACCTACTGCATCCGAAAACAGGCAGACCAGTGATCCATCGTCCACTGCCTCCGAAAACAAGATGAACAATGATCCATCACCTGCTACCTCTGAAAACAAGCAGACCAATGATCCATCACCTTCTACCTCCGAAAACAAGCAGACCAATAATGACCCATCACCCACTCCTACCTCAGAAAACAAGCAGACCAATAATGATCCATCTCCGCCCTTAACTCAACCGGTTCTCTCTAGACTGGCTAGTCTTCGTCAGAGGGTGGAAAAAGATCCAATGGATGGTGAGGCTTGGATTGAGTTAATTGCCGATGCAGAGAAAAAGGGGGATCTCGAGAAGACCCGTGAAGTGTACTCATCCTTCCTCCAACATTTCCCCGATGCTGTAAGCCTCCAAATTGATGAAATAAATAACCCTTTTGACATCCTCAATCTCTCGCAAGAATGTGCCACCTTTCAAGAGTTCTTTATCTTCTTTGTCCCAATCTCTACCCCCCTCAACTTGAGCTATCGGTATCACATTCCTGTTCTCACTTGCGCACCTACTAACTGAGCATTAATTTCCACTTCACATCGGAAAACCCAACCTTCTTTTTTCAATCTCTCTTTTCTTTCAATGGTTCGTGTGATTTGTTACATCTTGATGTGACGGATGGTTACAAAAACGCAGGCCAATCAATGGATAGCATATGCAGATCTAGAGCTAGGACATGGCCATTTCCCTGAAGTTGAACAGATCTTTTCCCGCTGTCTACGATCCTCGGTCTCAGTCGAACTATGGGCATTCTACTTGAATTATATCCGGAGAGTCAATCCAGTCGAGGGGGATAAGGCCGCCGCCTCACGTGCCATCATTATTTCTGCCTACGATTTCAGTCTCAATCATATCGGGATTGATCGTGAGTCTGGGCAGATCTGGCTGGACTACATCAATATTGTGAAAGCCGGTGAGGTACATCAGCTGTGACCTCTAAACACCGATAATCCGCATCCCATTTTCTTCACTGGTGCTTAATCATTTGTTCTCCTGTTCAGGCCGCTGGTACTTGGCAAGAACAACAAAAGATGGACTCGTTACGTAAACTTTACCAACGCGCCGTTTGTATTCCCCTGGATAACATCGAACAGATTTGGAAAGAGTATGATGGCTTTGAACATCAAATGAGCAAAATGACTGTGTGTTCTTTTTTTTTTTCTGCTGCCCTCTCCGTCCAGTTTAATCTGTGCAATTCTATGCACTCTCCCGGGCCCGTACTGACGTTTCCTTCTTCTATGATCATGATAAAATAGGCCAAGAAATTTCTGGCTGACAAATCGGCACAGTATATGACGGCGCGTGGGGCACTAAAGGAAATGAAGAGCCTGACAGATCCCTTACTGCGCCCGAGAGTGCCTGCCAAACCGAATTGGAAACGAATCAGTGATCATAAACAGCTCGATCAGTGGAAGACCTATCTTGCTTGGGAGGAGAAGAACCCGCTGGAAATAGCGGATAAAAACCTTCTCAACACTCGGATTCAGTACGCCTATCGACAGGCTATCATGCACATGCGTTTCTATCCCGAAATCTGGTATGCTGCAGCTTCTTTCTTTCATCTGCTTGGTTGGATGGCCCTCAGATTTCTGATTGGTTTGTCTCTCTCTCAGGTATCTTGCAGCTAGTCACTTGCAAAAGAACGACAAGGCCGAAGAAGCCCTGGCGGTTCTACAGGCTGGATTGACAGCAAATCCCACAAGGTTAGTGCGAAGGGGGTTTTCTTGTACAATAATGCGATACGCTTATCTCGTATTGATCACTCAAATCGGGTTTCATTGGTTTTGCAGCATTGTGTTGACGTACGCAATCGTGGAGGCACATGAAAATTTGAAAAACTATCCCGCATGTTATGCGGCATTCAATTCACTGATCGAATACTATCATTCGGAGATAGACGAGATCAACAAGACCATCGAAAAGGAAATCGCACATGGGATTCCGATCATCGAGTCCAAGACTGCCAATCCAACGACTTTGCCCGATGGAGAAGCTGATCAAGAGCTGACCGAAGAAGAAAAGCAACGTGCTAAGGAGGAAGAGCAACTTCGGACAAACATAACCGCGCTCTATAAACCTAAGATTGACGAGTTTCGTGAAGCGGCCGCAAGTGTTTGGATCACGGAGATGCGCTTTGCACGGCGAACCGAGGTCTGTTGTTGATCAATATCATTTTCACCTCTCACAACTATCCTGACCCATATAATATTCTTCTTATTTTTCTTTTTGATGATCATTTAGGGAATTAAACCAGCTCGAGCGGTTTTCACTCGGGCACGTAAAGCGCCCTATATCACCAGCCATGTCTTTGAGGCCTCAGCTATGATGGAATATCACTGGAACAAGGAGCCTGCTGTGGCCACCAAGGTCTTCGATCTCGGCCTCAAGACGTTCAGCGAGGACGTTAACTATGTGCTTCAATACCTTCACTTTTTGATCACCTTGAATGATGATAGCAGTTTGTCTCCCTTCTTTTGATTTCTCTCGACTTTCTCCCCGCAAGTTGTTGATGAACTTCTTTCTTTTCATCAGACGCCCGCGCTCTATTTGAGAAAACCGTTTCGAAGATTCCTCCTGAATCTGCTCGTCCCCTGTGGCGTAGATGGGCCGCTTATGAATTCATCTATGGTGACAAGGCTGCGAGTGAAAAGCTGAATTCCCGAGTGGCTGAGATCTTTCCAGACTGTCAGTATGATCACTTTTTTTTATTTGTTTTTTTTAAGAAAGGAATGATGCGCTTTTTTGCTGAAAGACAAATAAATCAACCGACAGGGGGCGTCGTGGAGCGTTTGTCAGACAGGCATGCCTACGCTGATTTGGGGGACGTCTTGGGACGAGAGTTAGGAACGGCGATCGAGCCGATCCCTCTCCGGAATCGATCGCCCTCACCAGCTCCAGGACATCAGGAAGGGTTTGGGTTCAAACGGGGCGGTGCAGGAGGGCACGAGGCGGGGCATCATCCAGGGGGGATTCCATCGGGTCCAGCCTCGTACCGAAACCGGCAGCAACAGCACCATCTACGCGACCGGAGTTTTTCGCCGGACTTCCGACCCAAACGGCCCCGTGGCCAACGCTCGTCGCTCTCACCCGAGCGTCGTAACGGTCCCGCTTCCCTCCCTCCCTCTGTCATCGATGGCCCCTCTAACCCTCCTAGTAAACGTGGACGCGAGAATTACGAAAATAATCCGAAGCGCAACCGCTTTTCCAGTCCTCCCTCGAGGAGTAGAGAAAGCCCGCCACCACCGAATCCTTATGCGTGGTTCCCAGAAGGCTTGCGCTACTTCCTTGGTATCTTGCCTCTAGCCACAAGCTTTGAAGGTAAGAATGAGATATAAATAATCAAGGTAGATGGCTACTGATGTTTCTTCTCCTTTTTGATCGATAGGGCCTCGACTAGATACCAATACTGTTCTCCAAGTCCTCAGCGAAGCGACGATCCCAGTCAGTCCAAGTGCGCCGAAGAATAACTCCGGGGGAACCCCACACGGACCAAGCAATGTGTCCGGTTGGGGCCCTAATCGTGGCGGTGGTAATGGCACTTCCGGCAGAGGAAATCACAATGCTACCCGCCGCGGAAGACGGAAATAACTTCATCTCCTTCTTTCTCTCTGTCATTATTCTTCTTCACCAAAATAAAACATCATCATCATCATACCGCACCCCCCCCCTTTACCTTTCACATTATTTATACCTATATATCCTTTGTCAGTAGACCCGATGATTTTTACTTTGGGCGGTTGGTTCTTTTTGGTTTCCTTAAACAAGTATACTTAAATATATATATATAGGTATGTATGTATATATATACTTATCAAGCAGGTCAGAATTCAGAACTATTTTGTTTTTGTTTCTTTTTACAATGCATCTTTCTCTCCACCACCGGGCATCATTCATCTAAGTGTGAACCAAGTAAAACATTTAAGCAATTAGTAATATGGTATAATGCGGTCTCGAAACAGTCCCAATGAATGTGGAAGATATATGTGTTGTTTTGTTTCTTTCTGCGATCAACTGTCATTCCAGCTTGCCAAAATCTAGCATAAGATTCACTCTTATCTCGGTTTTAATCCACAAACATTTTCTCGATTCAACCAGTACTGCTCACAGGATTGCTTATCTCACTTGAGATTATTGTTGATACTAGAGCGGCCAGAAGAAAGTATACATTCCAATTTTCATTTCTATCAGTAACCCAATATGTACACTTCATATACAGATAGCATAAGCTCTTGTAGGTTGCAATTTAATTTTCGAGACTGGGCGTGCTCGCCGTAGCTGCCAGTAGTTTTTCCTGAGTGTCGATCCAGTCACCCAAGACTTTTGTGACCTGACTCCGATGACTCGGGGCCTGAGTCATAGATATAAGCAGCGTCAAGATAAGATCTCCAATTGCGAGCCAAAAGAGAAATGATAATCCAACAAATCATCCCGACTCACCTCCATAAAAAAGTGATTACCCCCTTCAATATTTATGCATTCCACATTACCTGAAGGGAACATCTTCCTCTTTGAATCTTCCGTGAACATTCCTGGTGGTAATGGGGGGTCATTTGGAGCACCCATAAACAGACAGCGAATGTCGCTACTGAAAGCTACGGGTAGCAGAGCAGCTAAAATCGAAGGGTTTCAAAAAAAAAGCCAATTCTTAACTTTGCCCGATGCAGACCGACTTCATAAGAAGAACAGATGAACCTTACCTTCTTCATCTCTTTCATCTAATGTTCGAGCCTGAAAGATGGTTCACAGATCAGCTTTGAATGCCAGTTTGATACCCAACAATGAATCTACGTGGAACTATAGTAGTATGGCTCACTCGGTACCAATTCAAAGCCGGCGACAAGCCACTTTTTTTGATTTCGGAGACGACGTAAGATATCTCCTAAGTGGTGGCAAGAGAGGTGGACATGTCGTTTGGCCTATTGAATCTCTGATTCAGAATCGGGTAAGAAGTGAAGACTCACAGGATCCTCAATCGTCACCGATTCCAGTTCGTCCCCCACCTCTTTCAACTGTTTCTGAAGAACATCCTCAAAGACAATCGACTCATCCTTGTATTTCAAAAGTCTCTCTTCGATGGATGTCTCTAGTCCCCTTTCAAAGTGAAAATACAGTAAAAGCATCACGGTCTGGCAATATCGATCCATCTCTTCATTGGATTCTTCAGACATGAAGTAGATTTGATAGCTAAACGAAAAGAAAGTGCTTGTCAAGATCACTAGCAAGAAGCAAAGCAAGCTAGGATCGACCGAAAATTTCCGCACCCAAACTTGGGTATGTGTTTCCTAATCCACTCAACGTAATCTACTCCCTGGCCCAATTGAGCTGGCGCAGTAGGCGGAACACAAAGCCTGTTAAAAAAATAGGTTCAAGCTCTTGCAAAAGTCGACCTGAAAAAGAAAAAGAAACAGAAAAATTTGATTGAAAAAAGCGTACGTGGCCCAAAATTTTACCTTGTCAGGATGGTATGACAAGAAACGGGCGGCCAAGATCGAACCCCTGGTAACATGTCAACAGTTCATCTGATGAGCAACTTTCTCTCCTTCATATCCTCAAGATTCTATAATATAACATAACTATCAACACGAAACTTACCAATCATGACTGACGATAGTTATTTTACCGACGACACCCTCATGGTCCAGAATCTCAACAATAGACTTGCACATACTGGCCTTAGCATATGCTTCTAAACCCGTCGGTTTTGACTACGTTTTGATTGTCGAAATCGTCGAGGGATGTTGAACTAAAATTAGATGGAGAGCCTTTTCAAGAAGGATTAAAAGGAAAGAAACAAATTGCATGGAGCTCACCGTGCCACCGAACCTATATTTTCGGTGTAATTGAGCAGTTTGAACAAACCAAAACCGTGTGAAAAGCGTGTTCATATGATTTGGGGAAAGACGCAATTAGGCCAAGTAGGAGGGAAAAGGCAACTTACCCAAGTAAGTCCGGTGCTATCACGCGGTATCCCCTTTCCACTAGGTCGACTATTTGATACCTCCAACTGAAAGCCCTGTAGAAGAGTGATCAATTAAAGAAGTGGATATTGCCAAGAAAAATCAAGCAAGAAAACTCAAACAGCTCGGGCTAAGAACATTTACCACGCGTTTCCAAACTGATTAGCCATCACATCAGTCTCTTTCTACTTCATGGAGGGAGAAGGACTTACGAATCCATGCAGACAAAGCACGATGGGAGCCGCGTCTTTCTGAGCGGGCCATTGATCAATGTAACCTGTTGGATGAATGAAGCCGCTGTCAATCCAGGCCTAGACCAACTTATCTATATATATATTGTAGATGAAGAGTGGGGGAATTATTTCCTCACGGTAAGTATGCCCAACACTGACTTCCAGTGTCTTGTACGAGAAAATCTCTGGGTCTTGAAGGACAAGCATGCTGATTGTCAGAGTCGGATTCTCCAGATGATGAGATGTCGGGACCGATGGAAGACGGGCAGCCTTTTAAGTTTCAAGCTCATGAATACATGACCCTGACCTAACATAGCTCAACGGCACAAGTTTATCCTTGTCTTCATTCTTGAGACCCCTTGCATTCAGAAATTTGAGAATCTTAACATCTACTTGATTGTATGCGTGTGACCAGTTTCACGTTTGGAACACATATTTCGGCGAACAGTTCAAGTTAAATCTAATTCCGCTTGATTAGCGGTTCCGGTCATCGGAGCTGATCGGAGATGGTTGATGAATGACTCAGAAGGGAGAAATGGGGAGAGTCTAGAGTAGAGATCTCAAGAACAAACCGTTTGATATTTCTTCTTGTTCCTAATCTATCCTGCTCACCCAGGACACACTAGTTGACCCCTATGAAGAACGGAACTATGTTCGTCCTCCGACAAAAACGGCGCGAATTCGACCTTATTAAAGAAAATTGATGCGCGCTCGGTCGAACTCCGGCCAAATTCGCCGGGTTGTTGCTCGGCCTACCAAACGCCACTAACGGCTACAGCGAATCCCCTGTCTCTCCACACTGAATGCAAACACCAGCACAGTGCAATATAATCTATTCGCCCTGGCTTATCTTGCTACATATCCTGTTGAGATTTGAATCAAACGGTTGAACTTGCTATCGTATTGATGTAAATGTGTACACTACGTCCTTACGACGCATTCAAAGTCGGGGGCATCAGTGGGTTTGTTTAGCATAATGAGCTCGAAACCTACAAATTTTCAAAGTAACGATGTAGTCAGATATAACTCCTGACATTTTTGATGCCTCAGCGACAAATATTGATGTGATGGGGAAGTGAAAGCATGTATGCTATGAAAAATAAAAGAAATAATAAAAAATCAAGAAAAAGGGAAAACAGAACGATAGAAAAAAGCATGAATGGGAAAAAGGAGAAAAAAATCAGTATGTTTTCCAATCTTTCAGCTTGTAGCTCTGAATTGAAGACAAGCCAGAAGAAATATGGAAACGAGAATGAGGAAAATGAATCGGACTGAAGAGATTTTTTGGGTTGCAAATGATTTGGGAGGAAATCGAGCGCGTCGAACGAGCAGTTTCTGTGCCTTTGTATGCTGGGCAAAAACGGGGTACATCTAACAGGGTTTCTTTAGCCTCATGGTCCGGGAAAGATGACTCAGATACTTGCTTGATTCCGAAACGGTGATAATCGAGGGCAACGCTGTGGGAAGGGGGCAGGATGACAGATATTTTGTTCTTTCTTGCCAATGATTGATTTGTCCTGTGCTTGAACTCGCCGTGAATGAGGTTGTATTTCAATTGATCTCTTACTTCGATTCGAATCGTAATCCATTTATCCAGCTTGAATTACCCATGGCCACCCGTCAGTCCCACTCCCTCGGGGGCTCTGGAGGCGGAATGCCTCTTTCTCTGAATTAATCGTTTGCTTGAAGGCAAACACCTTTTTTGTGGGCCACTCATCATCATGTCATCGGAAAGGTTTGATTCAAATATGGTTTTAATTCCTATAACAGATAAACTTGTTTCCAATTCCACTAATTTCACAGCAGTATAGATTGATCCAGTGGGGTATGTGTGGATCATACTACATCAAATCAATAATAATAAAACAGACAAATGGGCAATAGAAATTCGAGGGATGATTTTTTGGAGAGCAAAAGAATAGGGACTGGTAGTTTGTACATTTTTCGGGACTGTTAATGAAATAAAATAGACTTCTCCAGTGGGATAATACTAATAGGAAATAAGGAAAGCTAGAATTACACAGTAATGTTGTGCTTTTCTCGTAGGTGGCGTAGATAATGGCCATGTGACTGGTAGGTCTTGGGGCAAGTTTCCACTTGGCATTCGACTAGTAGTGCATGAGGAATTAGTGTTGATTATTGAAACCGCCGTCAGAAAAAGAAAGTACTTTTGGGATGGGAGAGTCAGAAATACAAGGGGGCACTTACTTCGTGAATTGTTGTTGCTAGAATCGGGAGTGGAAGCTTGGCGACGGATGGGGCCCTCTGGCTCCAGCTTCCTGTGAACGTTTTCGATGTGACCTTCCATATCAGATTGCTGGTAAAATGTGAGCCCGCAATCTTCCCAGGTGCAAGGGACTGGAAAGGCAAAGTCAATGTGTGTTCGTTTTTGGCCAGTACAGGATTGATCTGGCAAGGTAGAGCTTACCTTTGAGTTTTTCTTTGGCCTCTTTCGGCAAGTGGATCGTTTTGTGCCTCCCCAAGTTAAACCGGAAGTCGGTCGAATAAAGGCACTTCGGCTCATCGCACGAGAACTTCTTGCCGCCTGGGTTGTCGTTGTTGTTGTCGTCAGTGTCGTGGCTATTCTCAGCTTGGACCATGATCTGCTCTTCGGAAATTGATAGATCTGCCCGATCATTCTCGACCAAAAGCCCTTCGTTGGACTGTCTGCCCATATTTGCGATCATTTTAAGGGCTTCTTCAAGGGGCATTGCTAGCTCGCGATAAAGCTGTTCCCACTCCTCTGGCGTCATAGATGGCCACGGGCAGGGGCCGGCGGTGGGCAGCGAAGAAGAGTTTTCCATTGTAATGAGGGGAGGAATAAGGAGATTCTTGAGTGTTTAGACTGGAAGAGAAGGGTGGGGATTTGGTGATAAATTTGAGCTCAGTGGCTATGGCAAGGATGGAGTGCGGATTTTTTGTGTTGAGAATCGCGTAATTTGTAGGGAATATGTGATGGCAATTGGAGCCGTCCTTCCTTTAAAGCGGGTGGCACTCTTCAGAATTACTCACGACAATGCATATGATTGCCTAATCATCTCATTTTGTCTGATCAACCCTCTATAAGCATTTTTCATCAGGCTCTTCCTTTGTTGGGGCGGCTTATTCTTAGGTAAGACTGCCGTCTCATTGCACTTATTCGCACTAAGAGTAAAACCTCTACTCGCTAATTTTAAAAGACTCCGAGGTTTCTTCTGGGCGAATCCTTCGTGACATTTTAGTCCTATGAAAATTATTACGTGTACCAAACATTGCGTGAATGGGCTAAAAATGCAAGGCCATGTAACACAAGAGCCACCAGCAGACACGCTTGGGGGAGTGCAACATGGGTTGTTCCAGAGGAATCACCAATAGGCCGCCGAAAGCCTGGTTACAATTTGTCCTTGGAATCATGACATGCAGTTTCTCGTTGAAGACCCAGCGATGCTTTTCTGAACACACTCGTCGACCAGACTGTCAAGGAAATCAGCATAGTGTGAAATGCTGGTTGCTTTTAATAATAAAAAACAACAACAACAAGGGGAGGAACACATGGTTCAGAGGCATGTCACGAGGCAATAGGGGGGCTTTGCTTGAGGTGCATCTATGATCTGGTTTCGGGCCTCAGTATGTTGCAATTTGTTTTGCCATTGTCTATCCTGGGGCGCCTCGCCATGACTGAGCCAGCCACTGAGTAGTTGAGAGTCCAGAATTCGCTGTGCGATGGCCAAGCGATCGTGTCTGAACACACTCCTCGGTTGATAGGTCAAGACTAGCCCACAGAATTCGAGTGCCTGAAACGGTTTATAAGCTCCACTCTTCACGAACCATGCTCCGCGAACTTGGTCTTGTTTTCATTTATTACCCCCGGCAAACGCGACTGAGCTGGAGGAGAGCCAGGCTGATTCAACTCCTGCAGGTGTTTTCCTGGTGTCCAAGTCTGCAAGCCGTTGTGCATCAAGAGGATACTTTATAGCCGACCAAGCCCTGTGTAGGTACAACGTGGGAACCATCAGCCGGTCGCAATGTTAGAAGCCTAACAATTTTCAAATTCCAAAAATACAATCCGCACCTTGTTTGGGTCTATCCACCATTGCTAGTGATGCTCAGTTGCCCCAGGAGATCGACGCAAGCGATGTTTCTCTACAAGTTTGAATCTGAATACTTCAGAGTATCATCTAGCACTGGCACACTGCTAACCGGCACTCCCAAGTAGTGCTTTGCGCTTGCTACCGGCTTTCATTACATTTTTCCGTCGCTAAATCTTCTCAAAACTGGGTTAACCTAGGAATATATCGTGAAGTTCAGCAAAGCTTTCTAAGTCCAAAAATTTTCCACTGGGGAAAACAATCTTACTCTTATTTCCAGCTTCGCATTAGGAAAACAACCTAGGCATCATTGGATGATTCGGCTTGGAGATATGACAGTTCTTGAGATACTCCGTTTTGCCAAAGATCAATGGCCACCGGTTGGAATTAGGTCGATTTTTGTAACGAGGACAAGCGCAGAAGTAGGTAGATGGAGCTAGAGCCCGACATCCCCCGTTGGCGCGCCATACACAAGCTGGAGATATCTCCTCGTCCTTCGGCCACCAGGCCAGACGATCCGAGTGAGAAACAGCCCCCCCAGACGCGCCAGTCATGTCTTACTCGAAGGGGGCAGTTATTATCCGTTTCTACACAAAAAAGAACGATGATAGTGCGTAGCAACATTGTCAATGTCATTGTTTTCCTGATGGTCCAGTCTGCTCACAGATGGCCAGACAAGCGCTTTTATGGCTGGTAACATTTACTTGGATGCTATTTTCTTTACCACGACATCTTTGACGTAGCTGCGAACGAAACGTTTGACCCTGGATTGAGAGCGTTCTCCTCCAACAAGGATATCTCCTTTGAATTGAGGGCGTATGCTCAGCGAGTTTGATTGCCCAGTTTGGATTGGAAACAAGCAGTCGACCGTCGCATCGCATGAGATCCAGAGTTTGGATGATTGTACGTGGTCGTTGTCCTCCTTTGAAGTACAAGTTTATCCATTCGTTTTCCTACTCGTCACCATAAGGATGTATTGGAAAATTTCTAGTGAGACGTCCTTTCCCGCATACTGCCATTCAAGCCAACAAGCAAATCAAAGGCATCCACATCCTAAACAGAATGGACAAGCAAAGCGACACGTACACAGTCACTACTTGTGTAGACCTTGTAGGTTGACGGATATGCCCGTACATCAGAGTGTCAGTAGCCAAGTTAACAAACCAAGCCGAGAAGTCATGCCAGAAATAATTGAGCAATTAACTTGACAAGATGTAGCCTGTAGGCATTGGAGCCTGGATATACCCGTACATCAGTGTTCAATCGTTAAGAGGTTCGATTTCGAGTACATATTGTTGAAATTCTGATACTATTTTTTACTCATCCCAAAAATCACCTTTCATTCTTGATTTCATTACCTGATTTTCCCATTCATTATTGTCTGTTTTTAGCCTAGTTATGTATGTCTGACCCCTTTCTTGTAGTCAAAGAACCCTGAAGAAAAAGGGCTTATCAGCTCTCTAGCTAAAACTTATCTTCTTGTCTGTGAACTCTCTTGTTGATGCATATCATATTGAATTGATTTCTTTTTCTTTCTTATTCATTTTCTCAACCACATCTTGATCAATCTTGTACATAGTATATTTAAACTGACTAAGTTACAAGAAATGATCACCATCGGTTCTTCTTCATTCTGAACCTTGACATCCTCAGAGCCCCCCCTTGAGTTTATCAATAAAAGACCGGTCACTCTCTCCCTCTCTTCTATCTCTTCGGCGGTCCAAAATTCTTCACATATCTTGAAGGCATGAGATAAATCTGAATCTCTATGGACTTTTGGGTCACCTTTGGGGATCTTTGGTGCAAGGCTGTAGCGGAAGAGGACCCTGGAGAACCCCTATAGAGGCGCCTCACCAAAATGTAGGAATGGGTTTTCACCCTACACAACCACTTTGACTGAACATCAGATGTGCTATCTGGATAGTTGCCACATCAGGACATGTACAGTGGGTAGACAGTGAAAAGTGGCTGCTTATTTTGGATTCCAGAGCTCTGAAACACAAACTTGAAGTCATGAGACTGGGTCAGGTGGTGCATAATAGGTCCCAAAAAATGAATATGAAATAATAAAAGCAAAAAATAAAGTTTGAAAATTTGTGAAAAATAAAAAATAAACTTGATTTTTTTCAAAAGCTTTGATATTCATTTTGGGGGAGTGAGAGTGCTGAGAGAAAGAATATAAATGAAAAAAATTGGAACCAAAAAAGGTTTGGCCAGGTTGGTGGTCCAGATTGGGGCCAAAACAGTAAATTCTAGTGCTTTGCTGCAATGTGGGCTGGTGAATGCCCCACTCAACAGCTGTTTGAAGCCATCTGAAAACCAGTTTTTCCCAAATTTTCATTTATAATCATTCTTCTCATTTCCCAATCTTTCTTTCTCTCAGCACTCCCACTCCCCCAAAATGAATATCAAAGCTTTTGAAAAAATCAATTTGATTTTTTATTTTTCACAAATTTTGAAACTTTATTTTTTGCTTTTATAATTTCATATTCATTTTTTGGGGACCTATTATGCACCACCTGACCAAGTCTCAAGATTTCAGATTTGTGTTTTGGAGCTCTGGAATCCAAAATAAGCAGCCACTTTTCACTGTCTAGGCACTGTACACCCTCAATGTGCATCCTGTACATGTATTCTTTAGTGGCTAACATCAACGAGTGAGTTTTAATAACTGAAAAACTAAAAAAAAAATGTAGGAATTTTTTTTCAGATTTTTTTTTTTAGTTTTTTGCTTCTCAAGGCTCACTGGTGAAGATTTACAACTAAAAAGTTCATGGGCTGGATTCACCTTCAGTATGTACATGTCCTGATGTGGCAATTATCCAGATAGCACATCTGATGTTCAGTCAAAGTGGTTGTATACATTTTGACGTTTTGGTTAGGCACCTCCATAGGGGGTCTCCTGGGTCCTAGTGGAAGATGTGCAAATGGCCCAGGCAAGGGCAGGCACAGGCCAAATGCACGCACCCCTTTGTTAATTAACCTCTTGCACTCCACTGAGAACTACATGGGAGTTCATAACACACAATCATTACACAGTATCTGGCCGAGTTTCCATAGGTTCTCAATCCCAGGGTTTTTTTTTTCTTCATATGGTGTGGTGCTATCACCCCAATCTATCTCCTGGAACTTGAAGTGAGGAATGACACGGAGGGTGATGCCGATCTCAATTACATAACCCTGGGCCTTGGCTTGGTGATCTGGCATGCTGGGCCAAGGAAGGCCACTCTCCGTCAGACCGGCGGGGGAGAGAATGGACAACCAAGATCCGACCCCGAGGCCACGTAATGGACTCCTAGTCCTGGAGGGCACGGTCCCCCCGGACACTCCGATTCCTCCAGTGAACTTTAGCAACCGCTGTGCATCTTGATCGGAGGATCCCGAAGGCCGAAGGGACGCTCTCTTGGGATGTCCAAGCCGGCACGTGGATCTTTAATATCTTAGCCCAATTGGTCGAGCTGAGTGCCTCGATATAAGGTCCAAGAGTGGGTGGTTTCAATTATTCCGTCCTGCTTCTCATATTTTCCAGCTCCTTGTCTTTGGGGCTGCTCCCTATAGTGATCTTTGCACGATCTAGGGGGGTCCAAGGTCTAAAATCTGGTAGGATGAATTGAATCTGCTCAAGGTCCTTGTTAGCTAGTGACAGTAGGTGGTCTTTCTGTATGTTGGCTTAGGCTGGGTTGGGCCCAGGGAAATGCCCCACTCCACCTACGCTCTCCAATCTGATCTGAAGTTCA